AGGTTATACGAAAATGTAAGTTTTGTTTCAACATTCTTTTTCTTAATATTTTTCCAATCCAACCCATCAATTATTATACATCATTTTAAAGAGAAAGCTTTAAGCTTTAATTTAAAATTAAGTCTCATTCCTTAATTTCAATAAATACGGCTTTCAGGAATTTTTAAATTAGCATCTTTTTTAACACTTTTAGGTTATACGAAAATGTAAGTTTTGTTTCAACATTCTTTTTCTTAATATTTTTCCGATCCAACCCAACGATTATTATAGATCATTTTAAAAAGAGATCATTGAGCTTTAATTTAAAATAAGTCTCATTCCTTAATTACAATAAACACGGCTTCTAGAAATTTTTAAATTAGCATCTTTTTTGACACTTTTAGGTTATACGAAAATGTAACTTTTATTTCAATATTTTTTCTCTCAATATTTTACCCATCCAACCCAACAATTATTATACATCATTTTAAAGAGAAAGCTTTGAGCTTTAATTTAGAATAAGTTCCATTCCTTAATTTCAATAAATACGGCTTCCAGGAATTTCTAAATTAGCATCTTTTTTGACACTTTTAGGTTATACGAAAATGTAAGTTTAATTTCAACATTTTTTTTCTCCACATTTTTGTGATTCAACATAACCATTATTATGCATCATTTTAAAAAGAAAGCATTGAGCTTTAATTTAGAATAAGTCTAATTCCTTAATTTCAATAAATACGGCTTCCAGGAATTTTTAAATTAGCATCTTTTTTGACATTTTTAGCTTATACGAAAATGTTAATTTTAACTCAATACTCTTTTCCTCAATATTTTTCTAATTCAACCCAACGATTATTATACAGTGATTTAAGCAGAAAGCTTTAAGCTTCAATTTAAAATAAGTTTCATTTTTTAATTTCAATAAACACGGCTTCCAGGAATTTTTGAATTAGCATCTTTTTTGGCACTTAGATTATGCGAAAATGTTAGATTTTGTTCAATATGTTTTTTCTCAATATTCTATCAGATTTTCGTCGTTCTGTAGCTACAGGTCTGATAAATAAATATTCAAATTTACTGCGTCCACGAAAATGTCGTAGCGCAAATTCAAAAGAAAGAGGAAGTTGTGAAAACTGTTCTGCCAAAGCTAGTCTCCACTCAAAATGTACTGCGGGCAATGTTTATTTATGTCGTAATTAAAAGATATGTTTTTCTGAATATAATGTGATTTAGCAAAAGCAAGTGGTACTTATTTTCTAACGTAATAAAAAATGTATTATTTTTATTGAGCATTAAACACTGACATTTTCAGGGAATAAATCAGTCCCATCATACATCGAAGTTGATACTTAAATGGCACCTGAATGTGCAATTTTAAAATTTCTCTCTGTATCTCTGCTATTAAGTTTTGATGATCATCGATAATTAGGCTTCTTTGGCAAATGTAATTTTTTCTCTAAAACGTTGTATTTGATTAGTAACGACACTTTTCCATATTCCAGTCTATAATCGCATTCAAAATAGCTTGCGCATGTTCGCTTCTTATATCCTATACGAAATAACTATCCGAACACGTTCTTCTTTCGATTTCGGGCATCTGAAGCAATATTTTTCCAGCGCATGTATCCTCGATCAGCGTTAGTTAGCTTTGTAACTGTCCATAAGATGGCTTAATCTTTTATTTTCTTCTTTATTTGCCAACCTTTTGTCTAGGTGTCTAGTTAAGTGGGTCGGTTGACCTAGCTCCTTCTGGAATACCAAAAACGTTCTATCTTCAAACAAACCTATCGCTGTTGTTGACTCTCTGCTGTCGACTCTGTTCAAATTGTGGAACGTGGAACAATTCGGCTTGGTATATTTGACCGTGAATCTCCAAATGTCTCTGGTTGTTAATAGCTTTTTATTTTGCGACCCTCTACAATGTGAACATTATAAATATTCCAGAATCTTAGGTAAAAGCGAATTCTACGCATTTTGACCATTTTGATACATTGCGGTCATTTGTGTTATAATTTCGAATGTTATAATTTTATATTACAAATGTCCTTTATTTCAAAAGTTTTTATATTACAAATATCCTTTATAATGGTCCAGGAGATATTCAAATGTAAACATTTGAAAACGCATTGGCCTCCCCCTCCCTTATTATGACAGATATGAGAAATATTGCACAACAAAAGCGATGCGGTATTATCCAAGCTACTAAATGATGTTGTCAAAGTTATAGCTCATCGTCTAATTTTTTGAGATAGCGGGAATTTTATGTTTCTCTATGGCAGTTACGCCCCCTAGCGGTCGAATTACGAACTTCAAAATTATTTCTAGCTATTTCTCTTGCCCACTTTGCTTATAAGGATCTTTTTCCCAAACCTATAGGCCTTACCGTTGTGGAGATACAACTGCTCCGTACCCTTAACGGGACATCCTGTACAATATAATATACAGGGTGATTCAAAAAACCGCTGACATACTTCTAGGGCAGGTAATACATCAAAAATTAAGATGAAAAGTCTTAATATACATGGACTTGCAAATGCCACCTTAACGAGACCTAAGGGTGTCAAAGTTTCTTCAAAATTAAACATTATCTGCAATAAAACACCCTTTTTTAAAAATATTTTCAACGCCACTACTAATTTTGTCAAACGGACAGTATTTTTTTATTTTAGTGTAAATGATCAATTATCTATCAATTAGTCTCTTACAAAACTTTGATCAAAGCAATAGTTTTTAAGAAAAACACGTTTGTAAAAAAGTTGTTAATCCAATCCAAAAACTGTTGCTTTAATCAAAGTTTTGCAAGAACTTGATAAAATTAGCAATGGCGTAGATAGTATTTTTAAAAAATGGCATTTTATTGCAGATAATGTTTAATTTTAAAGAAACTTTGACCCGCTATATCTCGTTAAGGAGACATTTGCGACCCCATGTATATTAAGACTATTCATCTTAATTTTGCAAGTATTATCTACTCTAGAAATCTGTCAGCGGTGTTTTGAATCACTCTGTATGTATGTATGTATATAATTATATACACACATACATGTATATATATATGTTAGATCTTTAGAAAATTAATCATGGCCAATCGTAAAGACAAGTTTTTTTGAATAATCCTGACGATATCAGGGAAATAGAAAAAATATTATGGGAAGAAGAAAGTGTTAGCGAAAAAGAAGATTTTGGAGATGAAAGCGATACGGATACACCTGACGCGGTAGAAGCTGTGGAGGAGAATTCTGATACGGAACAAGAAGATTCTGAAGACGAAGTTGGTTGTTTGCCAAAAGAAAGCAATCAGTATTTTTTCGGAAAGGGCAAAAAGAACGAAATGGAGTCTCAATTAACCAGCAAAAAGAATTCGAACAAAGAAGCATAATCTGCTTAGAGAGACTACAGGAGTAGTGGGCGCAGCAAGATCGGCACGTACTCCTTTAGAATGTTGGAGCTGTTTAGTAACAGATGATATGTATTTTGGAAACAATTGTGAAATCGAAATTCCAACGCGATAGAGACGCCAAAATTGTCGATTTGGTTGAATTGAAAGCCTTCATTGGTCTCTTGTTCTTAGCTGGTGTTTTCAAGGCTAATAAACAAAGTTTAGAAGATTTGTGGGATTCTGAAGATGGCGTTGAAAAATTTAGACTGGTGATGAGCATAAAAAGATTCAAATTTATCATGAAATGTTTAAGATTCGACGATAAAAGTACTCGGGAAGAAAGATTGTTCACAACTGCCAAAAATGCTACAGTCTGGGAGAAAATGTTAGTGTGGATGAGAAGTTAGAAGCATTCAGGGGTAGGTGTGGTTTCAAACAGTACATAGCAAATAAGCCGAACAAGTACGGAATTAAAATTTATGCTTTGGTAGATGCTCAAACATTTTATTTGTATAACCTTGAAATTTATGCTGGCTTGCGTCCTGATGGCCCATACCGTGTATCTAATAAACCAATTGATGTCGTTCTTAGATTAGCTCAGCCTATTTTTAATACAGGTAGAAATATTACTGCTGACAACTGGTTCAGTAGTTTCGACCTTATCGACAAATTAAAAAATAAAAAGTTGTCTTATGTTGGAAGTTTAAAAAAAAAATAAACGCGAAATTCCACCACAATTTGTTACCACAAAAGGAGTACCATACTGTAGTAGTATGTTTGCGTTCAATGATAACTGTACGTTAGTATCGTATATACCAAAGAAAGGGACATATGTACTTCTTGCTTCAACGCTTCATGAAGACAATTCGAATGCCGCCACAGGTAGTCAACAAAAAACATCAATAATAACGTTCTACAACAGCACAAAAGGAGGTGTGGATACTGCTAATAAATTGTGCGCCTCATATAATCTTGCAAGGAATATAAGACGATGGCCAGCCGTAGTATTTTTTGCCATGCTGAACGTTACGGGCATAAATGCACTGGTCATTTATTTTGAGAATAATCAAAAATCTGTTAGCAGAAAACTGTTCCTCAAAAGGTTAGCACAGGTCTTGCCCCAATTGAAGCGAAGAAGTCAGCAAACTCTGGGAATGCCTAAAGATATGCAAGAAAGATTGAAACGTTTTCAATCTACCGATGGTAACGAGGAAGATACTCAAAACAGAGAACAATATAATGGTGGTGCTGTCAAAAGGAAAAAGTGACAAAATACGATTGCAAAAATTGTCATAAATTAATATGTTTATCACATATTCAGACATTTTGTCATAGTTGTGCTCAAAGCTTGTTACTGTACAGCCAGCAAATATCTCAAGCATCATCAAATGAGTGATAAACGTTTTCGCTTTCATAGATTCATTTTCGTTTACTGATCTTTCTGTTTATTGTTATTGTTTTGTTACGAATTTTAATAAATAATAAGAGTAAAAATTTTGATTTATTGTATTTCGAATATCATAAATAACCATAAATATAATAATAAAAATGTATAAAATAATATTTAGTCAGCTTCATAACATAGTAAATACATTGTGATCATTTGATACATTACGCCCGATATGATACTTTTTTGCATTGCGCCCGACGAAAAATTAAACTAAATTCTCTCAAAAGCATTTAATACCACAACATTCGAAAATTTAAAGGAATTATTGCTTTCTCGTAAAGAAGACATAAAAAAGAGATACTTTTAACATGATTTCATTAAAAATCGTTTCTTAATCATAATAAATATCCTAAAATGATTTATTTCAAGACATTTTTGTTCGTTATCAAAAAGTATAAATGTTAGAAGCTTAAAACAATAAATATGCATCAAAAATTAATAACAATAAAATACAGGAAATGTCGTTAATTTTTGCACAACTCATAATTTCAACAACATTATTTATATCGCTTAAGTGCTCATTAATTTCTTTTCTAATACTTCTCAATAACAAATAATCTTTAAAATCGCTAGCATTTTTGTATTCTTTCGAACAATCGCCCTGAAAATCGTCTAAATCCAAAGCGGAAGCTGTAACTCCTCCTAATTTCTTATCAATGGCGTATTTAACTTTAAATCCAATCGATTTTTCATTATCGTAGGTAATTAATTTATCTTGACCCAAAGTTATAAAGGGTGTTTTACTTTTTTCATCCCAAAATTTCATCCATTTGTTATTATTTTTTAAGAGTTCCAAACAAATCTAAACAATAATGATAACTTTTTCAATAAAGCTTAAAAGAAATTTTTATTTAAATGGTAACTAACTTCACCGTAACTGATTACCCCGGAAATATCTTGGGTGTATGGGCCGAGGAATGTTTTTCTAACTCGTTCGGTTTCATTAAAAAGGTCTCCAAGTTTTAGGTGCTCATTTAGGGTTGATGAGTTTGTGTTATTCGTTGAAATAAAAACTCTTCCATAAAGAGGTATCCCTAAAATTAATTTTTGAGGATCTGCACCTAATTTAATCATGTAAGAAATTGCATAATCCTAAAAATATATTAAATATTTATAATACTCCCCCATTATAGAAACATTTATTTATAATACTAACCACATTCCATCTATCAGCACCATATAAAGGCGAGTTGGGTTGAATATCGTCACTCCAAAACCCGTTAAAATCATAAGTATTCATATTCATGAAATCGACAATTTTCGTGAGTTCTTTTACATCATAACCGGTGTCTATTGTATCGTAACTCGCGCTTAACAACGCGGAAAGAGTGTAATTAAACGGTTCAAATTGCCGTTTCATTTCCTTTAATAGTTGAATAAATCCGATTCGATCGTAAACGCTTCCATCTCGTTTACTTGGATATAACCAACACAAATCTAAACCATCTAAATCATATTTTCTACAATAGTATTAGAAATATCATTAGAAATTAGAATTGAAGGGAATAATAATTAAATTATTTGAATGATTTGTACAGGTAATTTTGAATTAGAGATACAAACGTTGCGAACTTAAATTGTTGTAAACATTATTTTTAAAATATTTAAGAAGTTGTAGTTTTTAATTTGAACAATTTTGATTTTAGTATATATGTATGTATGAAGAAATGTTTTTTTACCAAAGAACTATTAGACTTGTTGATTGTTTCATTCTTAAAAAATGAAAACATAAGTATAATACAGGTGTCACTGTAGAAGCAGTTAAAAACAATAAGTTAATACCGCAATGTAAAATTTATCAAGAATTGTAACAAGGTAGCTAAATGTGTTTTGTTGGGTCTCATTTAACGGCTACTTGTAATAAGCAAAATGCTCAGCCAATATGCTGTCACTATGGAAAAATCATACTGCAAATTACAGATAATACGAAGTGAGGACTCAATCAAGGAACTCTAAAAAATGAGAGATAATAATAATAAAACTAAGTAACAAGTTAGAACGAATAAAATAGCAAGACTTCCTGCTTATGAGCCTAACAACCCTGAAAACCTTGGAAAATTATATACAGTTAAGCTGCAGCCAATAACTTATCTGAAACTAAACAAACTATGAGCATTAATAACATGCTAGTTTGTGTATTAATAACATGTTGTTTAAGGTAAATAGCTTTTTTCTAGTCAGATACTATCTACCTAGGCAAATAGTTCTATTCCATTTATTTCAGACTAAATTCTACTTTCCTAGGCAAATAGTATATGACTAACATATTTTCAGGCAAATAGCTCTTTAAACCAATCCAACCCAACCCCAGGAATGCCTTACTTCTTTAAGAGAGGACTGCACTTCACAAAATGGATGTCAAAATGCCAGTGCCAGACTTCGAAATTTCAGTGCAGTACAAAAAGGTGTACTTGTTTCAAAAATAAGATAATGTGCAATAGTAGATGCCATTCCAGCAACAAAGGTCAAAACAAAGTTTAAGTCTTCAAGAAACAAATCGTTTATTTGTACTTTTATTAAAGTTAATAAAACTATATGAAACTGTTGTGCATTTTTTGAAAATGATACGCAAATAATTTGACTGAGTGTCAAACACTCATTAGTGACTTTAAGTTAAGAAAAGTAGGTTGATAACGGTAGGAACTACTTTATTTTATTGTGAACAGGTACCTACTCTATATTGCATTGTGATATCGAAAAGAAGGTATTTGCCTAAAACAAGCTTAGACAGATACTATTTGTCTTGTCCAATAGTATTTGCCTAGACATTTAATGATAAAACTGCAACGAACTACTATTTGCCTAGGCAGACAGTATATGACTAGCAAAAAGCTATCTACCTGAAATAACCATTTTCTTGCGACATATGTAAAAACTAAGGGTTCTACGCACAATAAAGTGAATTGCTGCAGTCCCAAACATGAATTGCAAGGAGTCACAAAAATTCTCGACAAAAAATATAGGAGAATATTCTCGAGAATATCTTTCTGAGGCTGCGGATTTTAAAACATATGGTTTTCCAAATAACCCTTTAGATCGATAAAGAGCCAATTCTGCCATTACCTCTGCAGACTCATCTGGGCTTGTTATAGTAGCCATATTATTTATAAACTTTGTTCCTTGCATTTGTTCTTCTCTATTAAGATGAATTCCATTAAATTTTTGATCTAGAATATTTGCAGCAAGATGATTGGATTTATTGCCATTTGCTTTCTGTTGACTAAAAAGCTTTTTACTTCTTTTACCTCTTGGTTAAGCAAAGGGCTTGAGAAAAGGGCTGTTTCAAAACGACTTTTCGACTCATAAAAGTATTCAGCTAGTTGGCTTAACCTTGGTTTATCTCCTTCCAGTTGGGTTATGTATTTAACAATAGGGTTTATTAGGTGATAAAAGTTTGAAACTTTTACCCAAAAAATATTCTCATCCAATATCAACTTTGCAACTCGTTTACTGAGTATATCTTCAACTTTTCATAAATTGCTAATGTTTTTAATGCATATTTTGTATCAAGAAGACTTTTTAAACTAAGTTGATCCCCATCGTGTTTTTACAGGTAATTTTAAGGAAATGGCTGCTTTGGTGTTATTTCTCTCAGTTTGCATTTTTTTTTAAAGTAGCCAATAAAATGTGAGAATTGTTAATTTCTTTGATGATAGCCTTAACATCTGCCAAAATAGTACACATGGTTTTTATTTTTGAAATGTCTTCAATTAATAAATTTAGCGTATGAGCAATGCATCCATAAACAGAAATATGTTTGTACTTTTCATGAAGCATACTACACTGGCATTGTCGGTTACTATAGCAAAGAATTGTTCATTACCAACTTTTCTCAAAATTTGATCGATTTGTTCAGCAATATATTCTCGGTAAATATTTGTTGGTAAAGTTTTATAAAACAGGGTTTGGTGTATAGTAATAATGAAGTTAGCTATGAATTCGTTTCTTTGGTTGCTCCAACCATCACACTGTAAGCTAAGAGCCACCATTCACAATGAGAAAATTACCTCGGAGAACTTTCTAGTGGAGAATATTTTTCTCTTTCATCTCTACTCCACACTCATTACTACTAAGGGTCGTGTGTTACACCTGTTAGTTGTTGGTGAGAATTCGTGTCTACTGACATTTCTGACTTGATAAATTTCTTTGTTGTCAAGAATGTATCAGGAAATTATGTTAAAATTGTAGCTTAAACATGAATTCGAATCATTCTTCAATATATCTGACAAGCGATATAATGATATAATGATCAAAGATAACAACGCTGATCAACGAACATACAGATTGCGACTATTTCTATTAAGTTTATTATTTCAACGGAGCAATTGAAAGAAGATCTAAATACTTTTACCAGTGCCCAGAAGACTGCGTGGAATACTACACCCGTTATTAGGGGTAAAAAAATTCCTAAAAGAAGTTAGAGAGCCAATAGCTGAAAAACATAAACTTAGAAGAAGATGATACAATCAAGAACTCAGCAGGATAAAGCTCTGCTCAACAGTCACCCAACAACTAACCATCAAAATAAAATGTATTAGGCAAGCAGTTATCAGCAACTTCCTCACAGAAAGGCTACTTTTAAATATCTTAAATGACAAGAAACACAAGTAACCTCATATTAGAAAAGTAGATGGTTGTTGGGTTTGTAAAAATTTGGAAAAAGCAAATACTTTTGCAGAACATCTTGAAACAGTAATGGGCAAAGAAAGACTGTGGTTAAACTAACTACTTTGATCATAAACATGAAAAACCACGAATTTATAATGATTCCAAAATCAGGCAAGAACCTAAGCGAAGTGGAATCATATTCAGTATTGCAAATTATGTCAAAATTGTTTGAGAAATTGATTTTGAAGAGTTTCAAATCTAGTCTCATTCACAGAAACCAAATACTATCTCATCGTCAAGTTGAGACCAAGTGCATCAAATTACTAATTTTATTGAAAAAATACTTGAAAAAAGTGTTTGCTCAAATGAAAAATATGCTTATATAAGCAAGTATTACGTCCAGTATGGAACTATGGAATCCAGCTATGATGCTGTGCCAGACAGTTAAACATCCAAGTGGTTCAACGTTTCCAGAACAAAGTGCCAAGGTGTATAATGTAGCGCCGGTAAATGATAATGATGTGAGTTTAGGGTCGAAAAGCATCTTTTGTGATGAGACGCCTTTTTGTATGAAAATGGTCTTAACAAGTAAAGGTGCTGCCAATATTGGACGACGCCAACCCACACAAGGTTCATTAAGTGGCAATGCATCCACAAAAAGTTACAACTTAGTGCGGATTTTGGGGCGGCGTTATCATGGTGAGGCCCTTACTGTTACTGGCAATCGCTTCAAATCAATGATAGCCTATTTGTTTTAGCCAGAATTGAACGATATGGATATGGACGATATATGGATCAAAGGCTATGATTATTTTCACGGAGGTAATATGAATTGGCCTTGATCGTGCGAATTGACCCCTCTAGTCTTTTTCTTGTGGGATTTTTTGAACAATTCGAGGGTCTGTGCCATATGTCGCAATCCATTCATGCTCTTAAAGTCTTCATAACTAAGGCCATCGCACAAATTCAGCCGGATCTATGCGGCAAAATGTTTCGAATTGAACATTGGCATATAAAACATAATGGCATATAACTAAACCATTGTAAAATAAAACTGAACAAGCACTTCAATAGAGGGAAGGAAGGTTTGATCCCGTTGTTTGATGTTTCACCTATTAAGGAAGTACTGAGATGTTCTAATGCAAGTCGGCAGAATTAATAGCAAAGAGTTTATAGTTTCCTTATAACTTTGGAAACAGGACATTTTGACGTAATTGATTTCAATTTTTGATTTGAACCGGTGCTAAAAGTTGGATTTTATTCAATACTAACTAATATGATTAATATATTATATAATTAATATAATACAATTGATGCAATATACTAATAGCATCATTATACACTGAATTGCTGTGTAATAGAAGCGCAAGTAACAAATATTTTGTTAACAACTCTACAAAATAATTTTCGCAAAAGCAGTTAGTGTCACAACATTAGGATTTATTGGTTTCTGGTAAAAGAGACATAAAAAGCAGGGAGTTATTGCAAAGTTGGCATCTTAGAAAAATCAACCTGATCAAAAAGTGTAGCTTATTCATATACAACCTAGAATAATTTATTTTAACAAATTTTAAACAATAAATAGAGATTAAAAATTAATAATAAAATACAGGAAAAATCGTTACTTTTTGCAGAATTCACAACTTCAACAACATTTATATCTCCTAAGTGCTTATTAATTTCTTTTCTAACACTCCTCAATAACAAATAATCTTTAAAATCGTCACTATTTTCGTATTCTTCTAAGCAATCTCCTTGAAAATCGTCTAAATCCAAAGCGAAAACTGTAATTCCTCCTAATTTTTTATCAACTGCGTATTTAACTTTAAATTCAATCGATTTTTTGTTATCGTAAGTAATTAATTTATCTTGACCCAACGTTATATAGGCTGTTTTGCTTTTTTCATCCCAAAATTTCTTCCATTTATTATTAGTTAACAGTTCTAAACAAATCTAAACAATAAAATGAGAATTTTTTCAATAAATCTTTAAAAAAAATTTTTATTTAAGTGTTAACTAACTTCACCGTAACTGATTATCCCGGAAACGTCTTGGGTGTATGGACCTACAAATGTTTTTCTAGCTTGTTCGGTTTCATTAAAAAGGTCTCCAAATTTTGGGTGTTCATTTAGGGTTGATGAATTTGTGGTATTCGTCGAAATAAAAGCTCTTCCGTAAAAAGGTATCCCTAAAATTATTTTTTTAGGATCTGCGCCTAATTTAATCAAGTATGAAATTGAATAATTCTGAAAATAAATTATAAATATTTATTTATACCCCTTTATTAATTCTCAAAATTGTATTTAAAATACTAACCACATTCAATCTATTATCACTATATAAAGGTGCGTGGGCTTGAATATCGGGACTCCAAAACCCACTATAGTCATAAGAATTCATATTCATGAAATCGACAACTTTAGAGAGTTCTTTGACATCATAACCGGTGTCTATTGTCTCAAAATCCGCGCTTAATAACGCGGAAAGCGTGTAATTAAACGGTTTAAATTGTCGTTTCATCTCCTTTAAAAGTTGAACAAACCCGACTCGATCGTAAACGTTTCCATCTCGTTTACTTGGAAATAACCAACACAAATCTAAACCATCAAAATCATATTTTCTATAATAATATAAAAAATATCATTAGAATTGAAATGAATGAGTAATTAAATTATTATTTGATGGATTTATGCAGGTCATTTTGAATTAGAGATGCAAACGTTGCTAAATCAATTTGTTCTAAATATACTTTCTAAAATTTTAAGATGTTGTTTTTAATTAATAAATTGTAGTATTTTTCTTTCTAGTGCACTTAATTTCTTTGTGGAAAATCGAATCGGAATGTTCCAAGAGTGAGAGATGTTTACCTTTTCATCTTTGCACAGGAGCAGATATCAAAGTAGAACATTTAATTCAGGTAAACTTAATTTATTACGTTTTTATTTAACTTATAAGGGTCAAAATACCCAAATGGTCAAACATATAATGCGACAAAATTAACGAAATGTTGTTAAGGGATGGTAGAGCTGCTAGAAATATTATATAAAACAGAAATATAAAAAACAATTTAAGCAGAAAACAAACAATCTAATTACTAATTACTAGAGCATTTCAGATTTTGTCATTTCTACTTAAAAACGACACTCTACTTGCCAAACATTTCAGTAATTGCTACGATTATTAGAACCATCTCTCTTCTTTTATCGTTTGAGGGTTATCGTTCCAACTTTTAAAACCGTTGAAGAAGAACTGACTATACAGCTAAACATTTTGCAACAGCAATAACAAATTCAGTTTAATGAGAGAGAATTGCTAGCCAATCTCGTAAAACTTGCTTTCCATTGCTTAAAGTTGTGTAATTCTGCAACGATTTAGGTGGACCTTGTCTTACTAAATCTATCGTCTAAGTTTTTGTAATATGATCTGGCTAGATATGATACTGCTAGGTGTTATTAATCGTCCTCTATTAAGATTTAATAGATTCTTATACTGTATCATATGGTTCCTCTGACATTTTTACAATTCTTGAATATATAAAGTAGAACAAATAAATATTTTCAGTAACAGATGCCGGATATTTATAGGCTTGATTAAGACCGCTTCTGTAGAATACTCAAGAATGAAGAGACTACAGCTTACTATTTTGGAAAAAATATACTTCTTTTTGTCTTTCCTCTTTACTTCCTCAATGTCCCTTCCCCACTGCTGAATCGAACTCTTGGTGCTGTCTAGCCACATTGTTCTGGGTCTCCACCTTCCTCTCTTCCCTTCTCTTCTAGTAATCATCATATTCTTTAGGAGCCTTCTATCATCCCTACGGATCACGTGCCCATTCTACTACAACTGTGTAGTTTTCACTAAAGGATCTATTCCTAGTTCTTCTCTTGCCCGAAATCACAAGTCCGAAATCTGGTTCACCCAGATTGAATCTGAGTTCACTACTTCTCGCATAATTTCCGATAAAACCAAATACCATCTTGTCGTTGCAAACCTTTCTCTTGATGTTGTGTCAAATGACGATTGTTTATGACGTAATCTCTAATCTTCCGGAGAGGGGAATGTATAATTTCATCAAAGATGTTATAATTTCTCGTCTTTTATGTAGCGAGGAAAAGCGACTATATAGATGAATTATTTTCTGGTACAGGAATGGGGGATCAAAAACCCTCAGATTTTTATCGAGGGATGTTGAGTATCGTGGGTGGTTCTCAGATGGTAAATTACAAATACGTTGATCAGGGTGAACGGTCAGAAATAATTCAGGAACAATTTTTCTATAAAATGCTTATATTTCGGTTGTGAAACCAACCTTCTTCAGAGCAAAATTTTTAAACAACTAGAAAAATTCGTTTAAATTAGAATAAAGTTAAATTAAATTTAGGATAAAGAAGTTAGCCAAGTCGAAAAATGAAAAATGTAAAAACTTTGTTACATATAAAGTTTCAGAAATTCAAGCTATCTCCCCATCAACTTTAATTAATCAAACAATACCATTAGATTTGATAAAGATTTTTGCAGATTTTTCAGTTAATTGTCAGAACGGTGTCCAGACTCTTACAATTTTATTGGCAATGGAATTTCAGATTAATTCTCTTCAAAACCAATTCCATTTTCAACGATATTTCAATCGACCACTTTTATTTTCTTCAAATTGTAGAGATCGCTTTTTATCATAATTCTTATTAGAATAATGCATTAAAATGTGAGAGTCCCAGGTGTACCGATTTTAAATTATTTACATCTAAACAAAATCAAAAAAAGCGAGTAAATGTTTCAACTTCAACATTAATGGTTTAACATCTGCTAAAATTTTCCATCTTTTCATTTTCGATCACTCAAATAAATAACATTTTTTGCTTTTTAGCTATCTATTTAGCTATTAAACATTTTTGCCATTTCTTGGAATGTTATCAGTTTAAAATTTTCATCAGAAGCCTTTAACTTTTTCCTCTAAAACAGAAAAAAGCCTCACTATACAGGGTGTTTCGGTGACTCGGGGAACAAATTTAATCACATATGCTAGAGTGAAAATGACGACGACGAAAATTAGTAAAAATCTTCAAATTTCAAAGATACAGGTCATCAAAGTTAGGAAATTTTAACACTTTTTTCCAATTATCTTAAACACTATTTACAGTAGAATGCTAAAATTTGGTATAGTATAATTCAATGTAATGTAAAGTCGTTAGGCAATTTATGATTTGGATCGGTCCGCGGGAATAATGTTATACAGGCTGTTCCTAAAGTGTGTTTGCTCAGAACTTTTTTATTCTATCATAACCCTACATTTATTTTTGCAGTTTCTAATAGTAAATTTAGTTTAGAAACTTTTATTACTGTTAGATAATATTGATAAAAATCACCGTTTTCGTGTTAAATGCAAAAATGTTGGGTTCCAATTTCAATAATAGCACTAAAAAATTTAGTATTTTTTATTACTTGTCCTGTTATTTTATGTACTTTTTTTATTATTTGTTAGTGTTGTCGTTTTTTTTGTTTATTTTTTGTTGATTTTTAATTTATTGTTTTTGAAGTCTTTTATTAAACCAAATAAAACAAATTAAAAATGTGATTTAGCTAAATCTACACTTGGACATGTTGCATACATAATAGTTATGACAGCTCAGTTCGATTTTCACTTGTCATTGCCAATTCAGATTATTTATTTATTAATTTTTTTAGTGTTATTGAATTCGGAGCCTAACATTTTTGCATTTAATACGAAAACGGTGGGTTTTATCAATATTCTCTAAGAGCGATAAAAGTTTCTAAACTAAATTTGCTATTAGAAACTGTAAAAATAAATGTAGGGTTAGGATAGAATAAAAAAATTCTGAGCAAACAAACTTTAGGAACAGCCTGTATAGGATTGTTCTCGCGTACCGATCCAACTCAAAAATTACCTAATGATTTTACGTGCTATTAGNCATTGATCTAATTTCCGTGTGCAATAATCATTTTTACCAACAATAAAGTTATTACCAATTTGAAAATGCCACGACATAATGAGTTTTTTAATAGTGAGAAATCCAGATTTAAGTACACTGGATTATTGAAAATTGTCACAATATTCTATTGTTATTAATTAATTGTTATTGTTATCGATTATTATCGTTACTAATTGCTATAGTTACTGTGTGCTATTGATTTTAAATGTTAACCTTAAAATTACTTTGAAACAATTATAAGCAGATAACTTGGAAACCAGTAGACTTAGACAATGTTATCAAAAGTATCTTTCTTGTGCAGAATTAAAAAGTCCTTTAGATTTCTGGTTCTAATTCACCACACCTCAACTAACAAAATAGTCATGACTTGATATCTCAAACATACAGTGTGTATCTAGCGCCCTCTACGAGTAATGACAAAACAAATATCAAATTCGTATTTCTCATGCCTGAAAACATCTAACTACCAAATTTTATGTTAATAGTACAAAAACCTTAAAAATTATCAAGAAATTTTGAAATAGGTATAAATTTAACTTTTAACACCCTGTGTATTAAAAACCACCGACATTTGTATAAGACATGTTAGGTAAAATCGTCATATTTTGGTGTCTAATGTCTCCGGTATTCGGATTTCTCATTCTTTCTGACTCACCCTGTACAAACAATCTAATTACTAATTACTAGAGCATTCAGGAATTCAGATATTTCAGATTTTGTCACTTCTACTTAAAAACGACACACCACTTGCCAAACATTTTAGTAATTGATACGATTACACTAGTTTACAAATTTTAATCAATCTTTTCCTCGAAGACTGCGATTTTTTTCTATAAAGTAGAATGTTGTACTGATTCTGAAGCTGTCTTCAGTTTTTCTCCATCGCGTCCAGTTTTCGAGATATACCCAAAAATGTGGAAAATCGTAAATTAAAAAACATAGTAACGGTTCATGTTCAGTATATTTTTTATTTTGTATAGTGTGCTTCTGTAGCTATATCTACATGAAAGTACAGATCCAGACGAACATTTTGAGGTATTGATGGCATAAATCGGACTCTCTGTTATTTTGCTACAGCCTAAAATAACTCTATGAACAAAAAAGTTAGCTATTCTATCCTATAGAACATTTAATTCTCTAAATTTCGAAGCATTGGACAAACAAATGAACAAATAAATATTTTCAGTAACAGATGCCGGATATTTATAGGCTTGATTAAGACCGCTTCTGTAGAATACTCAAGAATGAAGAGACTACAGCTTACTATTTTGGAAAAAATATACTTCTTTTTGTCTTTCCTTTTTACTTCCTCAATGACCCTTCCCCTCTGCTGAATCGAACTCTTGGTGCTGTCTAACCACATTGATCTGGGTCTCCCCCTTCCCCTCTTCTCTTCTCTTCTTGTAATCATCATATTCTTTAGGAGCCTTCTATCATCCATACGGATCACGTGCCCATTCTGCTACAACTGTATAATTTCACTAAAGGATCTATTCCTAGTTCTTCTCTTGCCCGAAATCACTAGTCCGAAATCTGGTTCACCCAGATTGAATCTCAATTCACTACTTCTCGCATAATTTTCGATAAAACCAAATACCATCTTGTCGTTGCAAACCTTTCTCTTGATGTTGTGTCAAATGACGATTGTTGATGACGTAATCTCTAATCTTCCGGAGAGAGAAATGTATAATTTCATCAAAGATGTTATAAATTCTCGTCTTTTATGTAGCGAGGAAAAGCGACTATACAGGGTGATTCATTAGATCTATGACAAACTTTGTCAGATGAAAGGTGATGCGATTCTAAGGAAAAAATGTTATATGAATATGGGTCGGATTCATTTTGGTTAAAGAGTTACAAGCCTTTGAAAATTTTATACAGTTTAATAGGCAAATGAAAATGTAACATAAAAAATAAGTTTAAAAATTACAAAAATTGTTCGAAATGTCCGCCTTCAGCTTGAATGCACGCTTCACATCGACGAAGTAAAGATTTGCAACAATCGCAACAATAATTATGAAACACAAATACAGAGTTGGCTGTGATAACAAAACTGAGTTCTTTATGTCAAACATTTCAATTTACTCTATTCTGTGTGTTTCAAAGTTTATAATTGTCAGAGTTTTGATCGAAAACGAAAATGCATGTATTTACGACTGAAGAATATGCAGATATTATTTTTGTATACGGGCTTTGTAACGGAAACGCTCGGCAAGCAGCAAGAGAATACCTTCGTAGGTTTCCAAATAGACATCAACCTGCCCATACAGTGTTTAGTGCATCATTTCGCAGACTGAGAGAAACAGGTAACCCCGCTCCACTACATTCCGTTCGTCCCCATGATGTGAATGTACAAAATGAAGAACGTGTTATTGATTTAGTACTTGACGACCCTTCAATTAGTACTCGGCGTATAGCGAGCATGTTACAAATATC